AATAACATTCATAATCATTGTACACACAATAATCACATTTAATTAACTATGGGTGAATAAATCTAGAAGAAAAAGAAAATAACCTATAAATCAGAATAATACTTAAAAATAATATATTATTCGATTTAAATTTATTTGTTCATTAGTATTATTTTCTGGCCAAATAGAAAAAAAAGAGAGAGAGAAAAAAAAAGGAAAAAAATTAATAACAAACAACATCAACAAAGAAGTACGACAAAAAAAGGTTTTGTGTATGTGTGAGAGATAAAACATAGACAAACTTGGATTTTCACTGTTTTTTCTCTTTTCGAATATATATATATATATATAATTATATACAGAAATAAAAGAAGGGTCAAAGATACGAGAATGAATAGCTTTGTTGTCAGATCAAACCACCGACTTTTTAAAAAAAAAGAAAAAACAAAAGGCAAGAATGACTAGAAAATGAGATAAAGAGACAAAAAAAAGAGAAAGAAAAGATAGATGAATGTTTTTTCATAAATTTATACTACGGCTGTTATTGTTGTTGTGATTGTTGAGCAATATTTGATGATATTGTTGATCCAGTTGTTTGTTGTATAGAATATGTAGGTCCAATACCATTTGGCATTAATAATCTTCCAATTTTTTTCGATGAATGTAGAGTTAGTGTTGACTTATTCAAAGCATCATTTAATGCCATACGCCATTCATGAAATGAGACGATATCCTATAAATGTTGGGATATTTTTTTTTCTTTCAACTCAAAAACAAAAATAAGAAAAGGAAGAGAAAAATAGTTTCAATGACAACAAAAGCGGCAACATCAAAATTGTTCAGCGATCAAAATAATTAGAAACAAATTGAAATAGAGAAGAAAAAAAAAAGAATACAACAAATCACTGTTTTCAGCAGAGAAAAGAAAAAAATTGTTTTTATTTTTCGAAAGTTAAAATTTTAGTTTTCGTTAGTCTTGTAGTGCAGCTGCAGCAATATTATTTTTCTTCATTGCACTAAGATTTCCACCAGATGATGTCATATTATGATGATTTGCATTATTTGTTTGTTGATTTGAATTATTACTTGTAGATGTTGAACTACTTACATCAGCTCCATAAATTTTTGATGCTTTTTCACTAACAGTTAAATGTTGTTGTGATGCAACAAGTGTATCATATAACGCTTTTTTCCATTCAATCCATGAGACTTCATCCTATTGACAGATTCGATACAATTGTTTAAAAACAAATTAAACAAAAAAAGAACACCAAATATATATATATATATTCATGCTAATATAAATACAATAGTTAATACATTGATCATATACAATAAAAAGCATAAGAAAAGCATGCATATAGATATATACATTTACATATACACAAATTTGACTTCTTATCATATATATATATATACACACAAATAAACATGAATATAAGTAAGTAAGTAACATAAATACGTAAATAAGAATAACGATAAAGAGAAGAAACAAAAGCAAATGAATAAAATCTTACCTGTGGTGAAAGCAT